AACTGCTTTCATAGTTGTCATAGAGTACTTAAATAATGAAAAATATTTGACTTGTAATAAACAACTATGACTTAAGGAGAAAACCGTCTGAAAATACGTAGTTGAAATAGTCAAGTAACTGCTCATCCGTTCTGCTTTCATATCATAGCTCTGTTTCATCGTAATTATATCCCATATGATTTCTAGTCTTTCCCGAGGGACGTTAACTAAACAAACGAACAGGCTGGACCAGTGTCATCTTGGTGTACAGGTCTGCAAAATGAAATTTTGCAAGCTGAGTAAGTAGTGCAGGGTCCGGTGAGGGTAGTGTGCAGCCTGATGTGCACAGCTGGAGGAATTGCTTTTCAGCCCTTGGGAACTGTGATAGTTTATCGCACATCTATACAGGTTACCAGAGATGCCTCTTCTCCTGCAGTTTTGCTTCTAGACTAGCAAGACCAAACAGCTACTTAATTTCGAAAATTCTGTATCAGTATCTTCACTGCTTATGAATTCAGAGTTGCTTGTTTGCATTCCTAATAAGAACATGAACTATGTATTTGTGTAACTCTTGGGATCACCTGAGAAGCCTCCAGTTCACATTCTTTAAAGGTAAAATAAAATTACTAATTGATAATGATATTTGATTCTTACTGAGCAGCTTCTTAACACTTGGATTTAACAGACACAGTAATCAACCTGCTCACATGGGCTGTGGATGCTTTTGATGTGGAAGAGCTTTTAGTAATCACATAACCTTGCACTTTTTACTGCATTCATCTACTTAATTGAGGATAGGTCCTACACAATCCTCATTAATTTTTTATAGCTTTTGTCTTCATAGGTATTTATCTTTACAGCATTTAAAAGAGTTAGAGGACTACTGATGCCAAAAAACATGGCTTGACAATTAGTACAAATTGTTAATTACAGCATACAGTGCCAAGCAATAGGACAAGAGGCAATGGGCAGAAACTGATGCACAGGAAGTTCCACCTGAGCATAAGGAAGAACTTCTTTACTATGTGAGTGACTGTGCACTGGAGCAGATTGCCCAGAGAGGTTGTGGAGTCTCCCTCAGTGGTGGTATTCGAGAACCATCTGGATGCAATCCTGTGAAAAGTGCTCTGGGATGAGTCAGCAGTGCCCTGGCAGCCAGGAGGGCCAACCATGTCCTGGGGTGCATCAGACAAAGCATCACCAGTCGGTTGGGGGAGGGGATTGTCCTGCTCTACTCTGCACTGGGGCAGCCTCACCTTGAATATTGTGGCAGTTTTGGGCACTGCAATATAAGAAAGAGATTAAGCTGTTAGAGCTTGTCCAGGGGAGGGCAACAAAGATGGTGAAGGACCTTGAGGGGAAGCCGTATGAGGAGCAGCTGAGGTCACTTGGTCTGTTCAGCCTGGAGAAGAGGAGACTGAGGGGAGACCTCATGGCAGCTACAACTTCCTTGAGAGGGGAAGAGGAGGGGCAGGCACTGATCTCTTCTCTGTGGTGACCAGTGACAGGACCTGAGGGAATGGCCTGAAGTCGTGTCAGGGGAGGTTTAGGTTGGATATTAGAGAAAGGTTCTTCACCCAGAGGGTGGTTGGGCACTAGAACAGGGTCCCCAGGGAAGTGGCCATAGCACCAAGTCTGACAGAGTTCAAGAAGCATTTGGATGATACTCTCAGGCACATGTACTGTACAAAAACACTTACTAAAACAACTCCCTGCAAGCCAGGCTACCAAGACATAGGGAAAGGGAGAAAAACCAATAGAGCACAGGGATCATTCTCCAGCTGCCCCTATTCCCATGATGACATGGAGCTAAAAATATTGCACATATATATTAGGCATTGCATGACACTTTAAAAAACAAAGATGTGACACCAGTGATAACAGACACTTTTGGTAGTCCTGTAGGAATAAACTATACTCAAAGTGAATTCAGGGATGAGGGATTCCGGTCACAAGTTTCAGCTGCAGAGTAATGCTTTAGTTTCTTACATACCCAGTTAAGCTTGAGCAGGTAGTACTGAATTCATGCCTTTATATATGAAGGGCAAACTGCCCCTTGCTTTTCATGCCTGCTATCCTCAGGAATGGGATTTGCAGCATAGATGAAATTATGCCAGTAAACAATACTATAGTCCAAAATGTGGTAGGTGCTTTGTTTTCAACATTGAAAATCTCTGTGTGATAGGTAAAAAAGACTTCTTGGACATAAGGGCAGTTAAAAGCTATAATTTATTTTTTGCAAAGGTAGCTTTTCATCCAGAGATAATTTTTCTTTATTACAGAGTAGAAGTCATATTTGTACTGAATACAGTGCGCTGATCTTTCCATGCAAAACCAAGCTTGCACTCTATGAAGTGTGCTGGCATTCATAAGCTTATGCTGCTTTCTGTCTTCTGACCTTCAACTGGGTTTTTTGGAACAGGCTTAAGAAACTGAATATTATGGTTTGAAATCAGTTTTGTCTCGCTGTGTTTTTACATCAGCACAGATAGTCAATATGTCCATGTTTACAGCCGAACACATGTCCATTGCTTAAACTTGATGTTCTTGCAATCTTTGTGGCATATGGCATTAAGAGAAGTATTTTAGGATAAACATATGCTTGGATCATGCAAAACAACAACTAGTAAAACAGAAACAGCAATGTTCCACTTCATGCTGTGACGGCCTAAGTTAGTTCTGAAGAACTGCAAGAAAAAGAAACCTTTACCAGGTGTTATGTGTCTACTTAATACAATAAACCCTCTGCAACACAAATGATCTTGCAAAATCATACAGTAATAAATACTGACTTCCAGGGAAAACACAGTAAAGCAATGTTAGGTTGCATGGCATCAGGAGCCTACAGTTTGTGAGTGAGAATTGAATTTAGAGGGCAAAAGGTATAGGTTGCAGCTTACACGACAATACTTTTCCCATCCTTACTTTTGGTAGGCTAATCTTTCCTACTCAAAAATCAACACGATTCTGTTAACAGCAAATTCCTGCAAAGCCAAGAGGTTTGTTCCTTTCTGCACCTGCCTCACAGTGTAAGGACACTCCTGCTGCCTTCTGTTCTTCCCTTTAAGCAAACCCCCAAAGTTTGTATGCTTGCTTTAACAATATTGTTGATGCTGGATAAACTTGGAAGCTGATATCGTGTTGTGCTGGTTTTTTTTGTTTTGTTTTCCTCCAGTTAGCTGTTTTCAAAGTTGAGGATGCATAAAAACATACCATAAGGTAAAACTTGTACACAGAGGTAGTACTTGCATGACACTATATATTTTGGTTAAAGAAGATAGGCAGGCTTTTAGATGCAGAACCCTTCTCAAGGTCTAAAATTAAAGAAGCAGATTTCAAAGGTAAATACAAACTGTTAACAATTGTTCAGTAATTTAACTGTTTGCATATCAGGCCATCTCTGAAGGAAAAATCATGTGCTACCAATGGAGCAGAGGTGACACAAGTATTTTTTAGCATCATCAGAAAGGAGGGGTGTAAAGGGACAGAGAAAGGGAGTCCGATGTTTTTGGAATGTGCAGCAAGAGATGGAGATTATAATGACCTACAAAATCAGTTTCTCTGTTAAATCCTTGGTTTTACATAACCCCTGGGATTATGGATTTCATAGGTTTGTCTTTGGATAAACATTTTGTAGGTTTATCTTGAGGATCTGTTAAATCTGAAATACTACAGGAGGAATAACAGCTTTATGAAGTGTGTTTCCGCAAGTTGTTTAATTTGATTGCACACAATCATTCTAGTAAATGCTGCTTGTTTATTTTCACCTACACAGATACCGCAAAATCACCTGGTGCAAAGGACAGAGGTTATGCCAGTCCAGGAGAGAAAACGTGGAATACAAAAATGCTCCCACTTAAAATATAGCCCTGCACGTACACCATCAGTGCAGGACAATCAGATTATGTAAAGAGCTGTGGCAGAGCAGCACAGAGGGGAGCCCGCAGGAGGAACCCCCCACCGGGAGAGTCCTCCAGCACCGCCGTCCCGCCCTTCTCCCTCTGCCAGTGCCCTGAGCCCGCGCAGCAGCGCCTGCTGCGGATCCCCGATCTGCAGGGATAGGACACGGAGTAATGGGTACAAATTGAAAGAGGGGAAATTTAGGCTGGGTATTAGGAAGAAATTCATTACTGTGAGGGTGGTGAGACTCTGGAACAGGTTGTGCAGGGAGGTCGTGGATGCCCCAACCCTGACAGTGTTCAAAGCCAGGCTGGATGGGGCTCTGAGCAACGTGATCGAGTGGAAGGTGTTCCTGCCGACGGCAGGGGGTTGGAACTAGATTATCTGTAGGGTCCCTTCCAACCCGAACCATTCCATGATTCTGTGATCTCCCACCGGGGCACACTAGGCGTGAGGGAAGCCCAGAGAAACCCGCAGAAGGGGCACAGCCCGCATTAACTAAATCCCTTACAAACTTTGGGCTCAGCTCTAAATGCCTCCACAGAGGATGGGCGGGGGGTCAGCTCCATCCCGTCCCCGCGGGTGACGATGATGGACAGCTCTGGGCGCAGCTCCCGGCCTGGCCGCAGGGCGAGCCAGGGGATGGGCAGCACCGGGGGGAGCTCCCGGTGTGCGCAATGAGACGGCGAGGCGCCTCCACCGCAGCCGGCAAGGGCGGCGGCGGCGGGAGCGAGACCGGGATCACAACCGGGACCCCCCCGCCCGCACCGCCCTCGCTGCTCGGGCCCGCCCGCACCGCCCTCGCCCCGCGCACGCGCGGCCGCCCAACGGGTGGGCGCGGCCACGTGACCATGAGCGCGCGGGGCGGGGCCGGCCCGGCGGCGGCGCAGAGGGAGGGGGGGGAGAAGGGGGAGGAGGATCCATCATGGCGTCGATGCAGGTGAGGCGTCTGTGGCGGAGTCCTCGGGGCAGCGTCGGGACCGGGCGGGGGCCAGGCGGCGGTGGGGGCAGGCTGGGGGATGCTGGGGCCGGGAGGAACCGTTCCGCCGGGCGTGTGCGTGCGCGCGCGGTGCGTTGCAGAGCGCGGTGCGGGCGGAGCAACCGCCGGGGCAGAGGTTGAGGGGGGCGAGCTCCGGGTAGCGGGGCCAGGGAGGGCAGATGGAGGCGGGGAAGGACCGGCCTGGCGCCGGGATGGAGGTGAGACCCGAGGGCCTGCGAGAGGTGAGGCCGGGCCCCGGCGGCGGCGGGCGGGGCGAGGGCGTGGGGAGTGGGGCCTCGGGGGGGGGTCTGGCGGCGGTGCCGCCGCTCCCCGGGGAGGCGAGGGGAGGGCGAAGGGACCTTGCTGCCCTTCGGTGGGGTGCGAGGGGCCCCAGCTCCGCCGGGCGCCGTGGCAGTGTGTGCCACCCCGTGCGGGGTGGGTGGCCAGGGTGACGGTCACGGTGGCACCGTGAAGACCGTGACCGACAGCTCCGTGTTCCCGGGGTTCCGGGGGTTCCGGCGCTGTAATTCCTGGGCACGGGGGCCTGGGGCAGGCAGATCCTGCTCCAAACCGCGTGTTGCCGGTGGTGTTCTCTTTCCCTCCGTAAAATGGGGTTGCGATGTGGACGGGTAGCGTCTGGCTTTGCTCGGTCGGATGGGGTGGCTATAGGTGCAGTAGCATGAACCATCCTGCTGCTTGACAGGTATTTCCAGCTGAATTATTCATTCAGACCTGCTCCGAAGGGGTTCTTAAATAGGGGCTGCAGAAATTGCTCTGGGAGAATGGATCACTTTCACTGTGTGCCGCTCTGAGTGGGTGGTGATTTATTATGACTGGGGCAGGAGAAAAGATCACCAGGTTTTGTGGCAGTGGCCCCTGTCTTATTTCACCAGCAACTGCTCTGCTTTTCCTTGAATATTTACGGTTTTCCATCCGGATGCTAGCTCTTCTGTTTTATTGTTTTGGTCCAGTATAACTTACATTTTTTTGTCACTGGTAATGGAACAGCCCAGAAGGAATGTACAAAATGGAAGAAATTCATTTAACTGTCCTAATAACCTGGATTTAGCATAGCTAAAAAGAGTTAAAATGTCCAAGCATTGAACTTTATGGGGTAAAAATTCTACTAATGAAGTTTAGAGGTATAAAAAATGCCCATGGTGTGTCTTTCAGAGTTATTGAAATGAAATGAGATCAAGAACTTGAACATACTGTACAGAATGTTCTTCTTTTAGCAGTTGCTTAGGCAGGTAGTCTGATTTGCCTTGATTTTGTTAGCTCTATCTGGCAAATGCATTTTTGCAATGCTCTTTTTCTTATGTTCAGACTTCCACAAGCACAAATGCAAAACAGAGGCTATAATTTATTAAGTAGTATCTTTTATAAAACTGTGTTAAAATTGGGGAAATGATGGCTGTGAACTGTGAAGGAGGCACTTTGTGGGACTCTGCAAACTTGTGCTGTATTGCTGTCTCTGGCCTAGTAAATGACCTTCCACAACTTGCCTCACCCGAATTCCTGTTGCTCTCTCTGTAAAGGGGAAAAAACGGTTACAAATTACATGGGTTTGTTTAGGATATGTGAATGACAAATGTTGCCTAAAAGTAAGATATGTGTGGAAGGTAGTACTCACTTCCTGAAATTACAGCTGTGGTAAGTCTAATGTTGTAATTGCTTTCATTTTAGAAATACCAGCTGTAAGATGACACTTTCTGTTTTCTTGCACAGTGTTCTGTTGTCTTTTGATGAGAGACTGAAGGGCATTTGTAGAGGTTTTTTCTCTATGTTGCTAATTGTATGATGCTCTAATTACTTTTTCCTGTGTTTAGTAAACTACTGATTTAGTAATGTAGTTTAGCAAATTGGAAAAGGAGTTGTAAACAGGAAAGATAAATAAAAGTTTACTAAGTGAACTGTAAAATTAGTAAGTTTCTCAGTAGTAGACATATCCCTCAAGTGAGCAAGATTTCAAGGCTCTGGATTCTTCTATTAATTAACATATCTTCAGCGGGGAAAAAAGTTTAACAAAGGAAACTTTTATATAATTTAAGTGGCTTTTTGGTTCAGGATCATTTAATTTATTGTAATTAGTGCTAACTTCTGATATGCAAGTTGCCTGACACAAAAAGATGTCCTTTTTCCCGTTAAGTACAGTGTTTTTAAATAACCAGTGTTTAACTAAAATGTTTGTGCAACTCATTGCAGCCTCTGACTATACCAGTAGTCTTATCAATGGACTGGCATTATTATTTATATTATTGATAAAAATGATATATTGGTACATTAAGTAAGTTTAGTTACTTCTTAAGCAGATGTAATTTTATGCAAAAATGTATGATGCCCTGTGTTAATTACATTTTATTTTTACAGATCCACTGAAACGTCTCTGATTAAGTTACTAGAGTTATCAGATCAGCCTGTTCTAAGTCAGCCTACTAGGGAAGTTTTGGAACTGTAATAAATCACCTCTTCTTGCCAATGGCGCTGAGCATCAACCTGAATAGTTACTGCAGCTCAGTGGATTCATAGTAACTTGTGAAACTTGTGACTTTGAGCCTTTATGTGTATCATTAAACTTATTGTGATTTTTGTCTGTGTGGACAGTCTTTAATGGTAGTTTTCTGTAACCCTTTTTTCTCCTACAATGATAGAAGCCAATGTTGATGAAATTGTGTATTTTGTTTTCTGACCAGAGTGTTGTTGCTCATTTGCCACTGCTGAACTGATTTAAACCTGTTTTGTGTGACTTTAAGCAAATCATATTTTTTCTTAAAAAAACCCTGCCTTGAATGAAGACTGTTTCTTTTCAAGACTTTTCCCAGAAAAAGCCCAAGCTTGTGCAACTGTCTCCTAAAAAAACCACACAGAAATATTCCAAAAAGGTGTTAAGTAGTATAGAACAAGTGAATAGAATGAATTTGCTTTAGAGGATTTGATGTAGCATCTTCAGGAATCTGAAGCGTTAAAAGCAAATGCTAAAGAAATCATAAACAATATGTTTTCTCAGAACAGCTGGAAGCAGAAAACTTGCATTATGAATAGAAGAGCAGGTGAAAAATAGAGCTAAGGAAGCTCAGTTGAAAATGTACAGAAAGTATATAATTACTGTATGAAGTGTTAAATAATTAAAGCCTTTCCCTCAACCTGCAGATATCAACTTTTTCCATAGTAAATTTGAAAGATTGACTTTATATATAATACTGACATGTTAAATAATACACTTTACCTTTCACCTTCTTTCAGTTTTAATATCAGGTTATTACAAACCCTGAATTATGATTGGACATGTTTGCAAAAACTGTTTAAACTCATTTATGGGAACAGTTTTCAGTGTGCATTTTATCACCAAAATAACTTCTCATTTATTTTCTAAAGTTAGGCACATGAGGTTTGTACATGTATGTATTTAAATCTCATTGAATGCAGAGCTGATGTAATTAATGACACAAATATAGTAAAGAGTGTAGGATGTTAGTTTTTCACTGTGCTTCTGTGTTATCCCCTTGAAAACTGGTGGTAGTAGGCCACCATCAAATTACATGCACACATCAAAATAAAGTGTGACTTGAAAATTCTTGTTCCACCAATAGAAATTTTTTCAAAATGTTTGTCTAAACAGCCATTCAGTAAAATAATTGTGTGAGATGACAATGCAGAATTCATGTTACAGTTTGAGATCACAAGAAACTTTTATCACAAAATGCAAGCCAGTAGCAATGTAAAAGCTTCTCACAAGGTTCACACCAATATTTTCTGCCAGTAGGATAGAGGATGGGGGAAATGTTTACAGGCCACTGAAATCTCAAGAAAAAATGCATATACTTTTAGTTATACTTCTTGGTTCTATTCTTTACCTGCCCTTCTAGTGTTAGTGGGAGTTGTGTTCCAGCTGTTCTCAGAATAATTACTTATTGCTTAGTCTTTGTTAAATAATGGCAGCATTTTTATTTAATAATTTGGCAGTAATTTATTTAAAAGATGTGTCCAGGAAAAAGTTTTAAACTATTTTTAATATATGTTCCAAAAAACCCAGGAAACCCAACCTTAAGTGAGGAAAGCTTTCAGTCAATTGGAACTCCAGTGGTGCTGCACATGTATTCTGTACTCTTAAACATCACAGTACCAGATGCTATTTGTATTGTTTCAAATAAAAAATTTAAAAAAACAAAAGAAAATTAGCAATTTTGGTAGCTATATAACAAGTTCTGGGATACAAAGCTGATGAAATTATTTGTAGTTAACAACAGCATGAAGTATTTAGTGCTGCCATTGGTGGAATACTGTTGAAGATAAGAATTTCAGTCATTTTTTAAGCTGAAAAATGCAAGTGCCAAAATTGAGACTAGAATGAGTAGAGAGTAAAAAGCATTTCTTTTGTCCTTTGCATAACCTTCGGTGATCAGTCTGTACTGATATGCAGTTTATTAGCTTTGGCATATAGCCACGCTATAGTAAAATAAGATAAATGCAAAATTTATAGTCATTTTACCAAGAAGATTTAATTTAATCTTGGCTGTACTTTTTAAGTGAGTTGAATATCACGTGAAGTTTAAAATTTATGATCTTTATTCAGTAAAGATAAATAAAATGAAAGTTACAGCTTTAGGCCCTAAGGAGTGTCATTTACTTGTTTTTGTGTCTGCCTGTGTAAATAGAATTTTGGGAAATAACTTTGCTGTGCATCAACTGCACAATTTTTGGCCTAAATTGGAAGAATTCACTTCCAAGAAAGAAAGCAGTAGTAGAAAAGCTTCTTGAAACCAGTGTCCCTGAGCGTTATCAGCAGCTCTTACTTCCAAATAAACCAGCTTTACAGCTAAAATGTAGAAAACCATGAATGCTTTCAACCTGTAACCTTGAACATTGGTATCTCATCAATATGTGTACAATTTCAATCAGGAAAATAAAAGCAGGCAGATATTTCTTGTAAAAAAAATTATTCTGGTTGAGTGCACATATTTTTTGCTCACAGTTTTATACTGTCTTGTACTTGTGTTTAGGCCTAGCTAGTCTAGGGAAAGGGAAGGGAAAAATAGAACACAATAGATTTGCAAAAGCCAGGGAATGTTGTCTTGTTAAGCTGCTCCCTTGGAAGGCTCTGTGAGTTTGTAATTAATAAGCTAAAGCAGCTTAGCTCAAACAATGCGCGAAACTCGGTGATCAAGCTCTTTCTTTAATTGTTTACTCAAATTCTACTGAGCTAAGACTTTCAGACTAAAGAATCTTCACTATCCTTTCAATG